TAGAGGGAGTCTCCACTGGTTTCATAAACTGCATGAAGCTTTTGCTGTCGCACAGCAGTGAACAATGACAACGGTCACTCGAAGGGCATTACACCTGAAAAAAACATTTTAAAACCGATGCACCAAATGCACATCTAGACGCGTGGTGCAACTTACAATTCAAACGGTATCAATCGCCCACATGCGACCTAAAAAGAAGCTCCTTATTATTATTTATTGCGGTTATGCAACATCCGGATTTGGAATAAGTGGTGCCTCACTACATCCCACTTTGGCTATTATTATTGGTGCAATTTGGCATGAGTCAGGTGAGTGGGTTGAATCTCGCCACTCTACAAATACCTATTCGGCAGAGAGAAGGAAGGAGAAGCACCTAATTATCGGTTGGTAAATAGAAAAGCTGACATTGATTGGCCACATCCTGCTAATAACCACTCCCATGTGAGCCAATCAGCATGAAGCTCAATTCACCCAATCGATATGCCACTTGCAGCAAGTTCATTGGTTACCAATGCTTACTATTGTCGGCATCACGACAGGCGGGATCAGGAGTGAAAGCACAGGGGTCAATGGCGTTTGGAATGACATAGACACGCTCCGGTTCCATGCCACCACGCAGCACAGTGTTCTCCTTTGCCACATGTGACACGCATATGAAGTTATCCACCACGTTCAAGAACATAAAAAGTGCACGATTTGCGAGGATGGATGAGAGGTCAGCAAAGCCAAAGAGCGAATGGTCCGTAAAGAGAGCATGCAGACCAAGAGCCTTGGCGTGCATCAGCGATTCCAATGCCAATGGTGAGAAGGCCTAAGGGGCGAAAATGAAGCACTCATATGCTGCATAACCATCCATAGGAATGCACTGCATCACCTACTATGCCATTTCCATCTGAAATCAACTTTTCACCCCTTTTAATCAGGTTTCATAAAAGTGGTGACTATGCATAGGAATGGTCTAGATTGGCTTCAAAAGAGGTCTCCACTCCTTTGTGCACGGCCAGTTTTTTGAGAGTAGAAATTACCCACATCACAATTCACCACCCACACTCAACACTACAAAAAGCCGCCTCATCAGTTGCCCACTAGTCTCGCCCATTTGGCATACATTCACGCAACTACTTCACGTCTGTGGCAAAATAAAGAGGCTAAGAAGCGAGTAGTAGACATGCGATGTGCCTCTATTGAGACACTGACGCAATTCATCCAAATGAAGGAGTGGAACCACAACCGCTCCAGTAGAAAGGATGTCTCGCTACAAACCTACACTTCACATTGAGTTCCAGGGCTTAGTAGAACACCGGAGAGAAAACTAGTCTACAAATCCTTAAAATAAGGCATCTACTTCTGCCGAACCATGCACAAGAGAACAATTTTAAAGTGACAGAAGAACATACCGA